CATTGTCTTGACTCATAACAAAACTATGCTCATCAATAATAGAGTCATCGTTTCCTTAGTACCAAATATGATTTTTATTCGAATGATTTGTTTAGGTTCTCATTTGTTTCATCTGGGCTAGGGAGGGGGTGCTGGGCAATAGCAAAGGGGCACCTCAAAAGACATTAACGTTAAGTCTGTGACCTTTCCTGAAAATTGTCCTCCTTATTGGTAAGGAAACAGATCCAGAAGGGCATGGACCCGTGTATTCTTTAACACATATGCCACTTTGCCACTAGACTCGGACTCAAAGCACACAATGACACAATTATGCGTTTACAATTGTATTCCATTTTAATGGCATTTCACTTTCGTTACTTTGGATATATATCTGGAAGACAACTTTGACTGTTGGTGGCATAATTATGCTAAATGTAGACCTGTAGATTTTGGTGGCGTTGGGTTTCTCAAAGAAGATATAGTATCTTGAGTTTAATTATTGTAGACCGAAGCAAATAGGTGGAAATTGTCTAAATATATATATTACGAGATGGTTTCGTCCCGATCATACTAACAACGAGCTTCTATTCATGAGAGAATGCATGTAGATCATGACTGAAATTTGCAGAATTCTTTTCTGCACTTATTCCAACATTTTTCAGTGGTTTCTGCCTCCTTTTTGAGCTAACTCTTTTGTGGTGTAAGTGCAGCTTTGCGCATTCGAGACTGTTTAAAATCAAACATAGTTTTGGATATGCAAAGTTTTTTTAAACAAAACGTTAGCGGTTTAGTTATTTTTTTTAATTTATAAAATCATCTCAGTGACGCGTTTGAGGTATATTTTTCTCTGACCCCGATAAAAACGATTTTTAATGAGCAAAAAAGGTACAAAGTGGTTTGTATAATTATTCAAATTAGGTCCCGACGGCTTTGTTAATACTAGGGTATGCATGCAGGTAACCTCTGAATAATGTTGGAATCAAACACTTTCAAGCAAAACTCTGTTGAATAATTTGTACATCTTTTTTTTGTATCTGTCTTTCCATTTTGACATTTAAAATGAAGATTTACAAAGAAGCTCAGAAAGATTTTAGAGTAGTTAAAACATTTGCCAAACATCTCTGTGGTATTTTTTTTTGCTAGCACGACAGAAATTATGAAATCTATTGAAATACATGTAGCGTTTGTTTCCAGAGATGAAAATACTTTTCAAGATTTGTGTCGAGTTCTGACGGTAAAATGCCATCCAAATGAAATACAATAAGGAACATGCTTGGTGTCCAAACTCATTTCAAGCTTGAGGAATATTGAATGAAAAAGCTATTAAGTAAGGATACAGCATTTTGATGGATGACATTTATCATGTTAAAATGTTGAATCTACATCACGATTGCGCTGATTATGTGAATAAAGTTTTTACGTCTTGAATAACACTTCTCCCTCAAAAAGCCCATATCTTCTATACCTCGGCATGAATGAATATCAAGTCACTATACATGTGCGATGCACACTGCACGGATATTTTCAGTCGCAAAGTACCTTATCTCGTTTATTAGGCACGTTTGGTAACTGTTCATCCTAGTTGTGTGTGTGCGGTGCTTTCAAATTTAACTTTCTTTTTTAAATTTCTGTTTTGTTTTTGAAGTGCTTCATAGATTTAAACTATTTGATTGTGTGAGTGTTAATCAAAAATATAATATGACAAAGCCAGAAGTGATTGAGTAGTAGAAGTTAAGATTGAATGTTGTTTTTTATAAGTATTATCCTAATGTATATACTAATGTATTTCGTGATGTTTATTAACTAAATGTATTCAATCAGTTCGTATAGAACATACACTATGTGAAAGAATTAGGAAAATTCAATGTTCACTGTATGTTAATTTAAGGTTCTTTTGGTACATATGTGAAAGGAATACTCGGAACTTCAATGTGTTTTTTCTTTCTCCTATGTTCACTCAGTAAATTTGTTTCGTCGATGCAACGTGTGGAAGGAATTGGTAACTTTAATATGTTTTTATTTCAATATCAATTCAAACGTTCGTTCATTTGTCCTTTCATTCGTTCGTTCTCACAGTTATTCATGCATTTTCCATTCATTCATTCATTTATCTGTTCTTTCATATAAAGCACCAATATTCGTCTTCAACTGTTATCCGTCAAAAACACAGAATGTATACGCGCTTCAATCCGTTCGGATCCAAATTGATCAGACATAATCTTCCTCTTGACGTAATTATATTTAAGATGTGTCCATGGTTATGGAAGGACATCGAATCTTGGGAAAAGTAAAATAAATGGTACATTGATGTTGGGGTTTACTCATGATATATTTATTCTTACAAACTAGGATATTTGAGACTACTGCAGTAAGTGTGAATAACTATGATTTGTAGAAAGATAAATTGTACTGCTAACCAGTTTTATGCTGTTCTACAAATCTTCTTTCTTGGGATTTTTTTTCTCTTGTGTGACGTCGATATATTTCCCTTCAAAGAGAGTAATAAAGTTTGCCATGAATCCTGAAAATGTGTTCACATTGTCATTATTTCTTTCGTAGTCACATTGCCGGGTATAACTACCTATCCTGGACAGAATAATAATAATGATATAAATAATATTACATTTATATAGCGCTTTTTTATTAGAAACAAAGCGCACGAGCAGAAAATACAAGAGAGAGAGAGAGAGAGAGAGAGAGAGAGAGAGAGAGAGAGAGGGGAGAGAACATTATTATACGAAGATTACATTAATTACAAACAGAAGAATGTTACAACAAATTTACAAAAGATGTGTTTCAGATACCTCTCGGAATCTGAAAATCCAATCCAAAAAGTTTATTCGTGTAACTTAAGGGAAAGTCCACCCCCAAAATAAGTTTGTTTCGATAGAGGCAGAATAATAAGAAAATCAGGTGAGTGAAAGTTTGAGCAAATTCTGAATGAAAATAAGAAAGTTATGAATTATTGAAGTTGTGATCAATCAAATACAAATTTATTCACAAAACTTATTATACGAGCTCTCCTTCATTTGCTTTGTGCATAATATTCCATAAAATCATGTTTTCTTCGTTATTGATGACGGAATATATATTTGTTCCTTGCAGGGGGAGTATAGAAACATATTTGCAATTATTATATTTAGGGTGCATGTATGGTTGAAATTTTTCTTGAGGGAAAATGAAATTTTAGATTTTTTTAGTACTGAGCAAATGGAAGTTGAGCTCGCATGATACGTCATAGAGCTCAAACTTTCACTGACTTGTTTCTCTCATTTTTCTACTCCTATTAAAACTAACTTAATTTCAGGGTGGACTTCCCCTTTAATCTGAGAACGTGTGAACGCGCGGTGTTTTCACACTGTTGCCTTTAAAGTGGGAATAATCTTTCCTTACCTCTTTTAATGAAATGATTGTGACAATATGATGTGTTCCTATAACAAAAAAGAATTCACAATTTATCAGAAACTAGTATCGATCTCTTTGACTCTTTAGATTGATCAGTAACTTTATCAATCAAGAATAAATGATAATTGTCACAATCATTTCACGAAAGAGGTAAGAAATTTAATTCAAACTTCACGAACAATAGTGTATTCAAAACAGTGACGTAGTATAATTCCACAAAGGGCAAATTGGGTGATTTTTTTTGGCGGGGGGGGGGGGGGGTTTGATCTTATCTGGAAAATGAAATGCAGATTTACAACGCTACTGATTACGAAGAAGGTTCGGGAGGTGGTCTAGGCAACTTCTTTTCTTGTCCTTTTCCTCTGTTCCCCGCCCCCGCCCCCCCCCCTAATCCGGGATCGGAGGTACGCACGGGGGGGGGGGGGGTGCTGAAAAGGCTCGTATAACAAAAGAAAAAGGTCAACCCGTATTGACTTTACACACCTGACTTACGCTGAAGGGGGGGGGGTGCTGGGAACACGCATAATTATGCGTACCCTAAATAACACTGAGTGGGGGAGGGGAGGGCTCTTCGCTCTTTGTTGTTTTGTTTTGTTTTGACCATCCTCCGATTAGGGGAGGGCACATGTCCCCACCACCCCTGTATTTAAGGCCGCTGAATGAACACTTTGAAGTCATGTCAATGGATAAAAGACTTATGATATCAAATCGCACACATCTTACTGAAGCACCCTAACGTTTGTTACTTTTGGTATGGATACATTGAAATATAGAGAAAAGGGAGAGAAAAAGGAGATGAAAAGATCAAACGGTTATGTTTCAACGCATTTATTTATCAAACATGAAAATCAAATCAAAAATACACACAAACATGACGATAAAGTACACAAATAATCAAATTTATACACAAAAAACTGGGTTAGTTCCTCTTCACGTCACATACATACATGAACGGCAATATCATATTTACTTTATAAAACATTCTGTAAACTATTAACTTTAAAATATCTATCAAAACTCTTTCCTGAGCCTCATGCCCAGTAAAGCTACAATGTAGTGACCTTCCTTTCTCTTGTTTTCTTTTTAATTTTACGGATGTTTACAATATTGTCCCTAAAAAAGAATTTACAATATATGCAATGGTCAGAGCAAGAAAATGAAACACATGACCCCCCCCCCCCCCCCCCCCCCCCCACATCACACATACACTTTGTGGCTAGTTTCTCCTTTATATGAGCAGTGGATATATTGAAACTAATTTTGAATAGACCATTTTCGTAGAATAACCAAATGTATGCATTTGCCTTTATGAATACGAATTCTTTCATTCACCGTTACGAATAAATGTATCTCGACAGTCAGAATACGAATTTCATAAATTTGTTGTTGCTAGGTAGGACAAACATTATGGCTTGTCCTACCTAGCAACACGTAATGTATGCAACTTGTATTATGACTATTAAAATACAAATAATTCGTATCGGGTGAATGAAATAATTCGTATCGAGGGACTTATGTATACATTTTGTTACATTACGAACATGTCCTATTAAGAAGATAAACCACGACTAAACGTGTTATACTTCAAATGTGGGCGAATGGGTATTTTAGATTACATGAGGCTTGTACATAAATCATGAGTTGAAAATACATTAAAAAGTCTACTTGTACGCTTAATGAAGAGAAGTTATTATTCATTCAGAACTGCTTATATCGGACGGGCATCTGCATGCTCATCACAAATAGTATCAACTTCCAAAAAATACCTTGGCTCTTTTCATCTGGATATTAGGGACTTTTAGATTTGCACGACGAGAACGTGGACTGCTCGTGTGACACCCTTTTAAGGCACTGTCAGAGCCTTAAAAGGACGTCACATTGCTTTAAAAGGATGTCACACGTCGCAGTCCACGTTCTCGTCGTGCAAATCTAAAAGTCCCTGTAGATGATCGAATAGCGATACAGTTTTGGCATATGAATAAATAGAAGCAGTTTTCTCGAAAACATACCCTATTCCGCGATTACTTTCTTACTTTTTCACTGTTCACTATATCTGCACTTGTATGTCCAATGAATTAAGGGTTTCTAATTTCAAGCAAACTTGAGTCTCATTAAAAAAAGCACAAAGTATGGCATGTTATTGGTTCAATTCCGTTTCTTTTATAAATTACAGTCTTAAAACCAAGATAAATCTTAAAGGAATTGGGTTAATTTACTTCTTGGTGGTAATTACGAATCATTTAACGAGTTATACAAATGAATCGCACATCGAACCATTCAAAAGATGTTTACAAACGCTTGACGGTCATGCTCCTGACATAGCACCATGTGGAGTCATTTTAAACTGCTAGATCATGTAGTTCTGTTTCTTGACTTGTCACATCAAATTTGTCAAAAACCGATCGTCGAACGCACATATGATGAACAGCAACCGTAATATTAGCAGCCCGGATAATAATGCGGTACTTTCAAAACGCCTTCAACCAGTTAACCGCGTTTCAGGCTGCGGTGTTTACCGCGAATGTTCAAAATGACCGCGTCTCTACCGCGAAGTGGTGTATTTGGTAACGGCCTTTGTGCCCTCCGACACGGCGTGTTTAGCCAGCTCACCGGGCAGGAGAAGACGGACTGCGGTCTGAACCTGGGGGAGAAAGAAAAAAAAAATGGAATTTATTATAATTTACATGCTTATACCACAGCCTCAAGCTCAGAATATCGAAAAGTTGTTCAGATTTGTAATAGTCTTCAAATACGGAACTATTGTTAGTTCTTGATTCGAAATGATTTTCGATTGACTGCAGGAAAAAATAACGCTTCATTCTGTTGGAGTATAATGATGAACCATTTAAAACACGATCCAAAAGATTTGCAACAATAAAACATATTTCAACCACGGCAAATTTTGGTAGCATTTTCGACCGCCTATTGAAATATGCGAAAACGACAGTAACGTATAACGTAATCCGAATATTTCTGTATACATGTTATTGAAATTGAACTTGTGTTGATTTCTCGAAAGTCTTGGCGTTCGCGCTATGATTGATTGCATGTCTGGATTAAAACAAAAATCTTGCCATTATATATGTGTTCGATATGATCATAAAATCGTTAATTTCTGTAAAAACGTAGTGACAACATATAACGGACTTGTCTCATTTAGTTTCAGTAAATGAATAAAGTCCAAGGTATATTGTCATAATTATACGTTAGTGATATCGTCAGTTGTGGTATACCCGAAGATTGTATGAAGTATTCAAGTAATAATTTCCTAGACAGCTACCTGGTTCCTAAACCTGGGTGGAGAGTGGCTTATTTAGATTAGTGCTACAGCGGGACTCGAACCGCAAACCATGCGAATCGCAGTCCGGTGACGTATCCACTAGTCCACGACACTAGTTCTTGTAAGGTGTATGAAACAACAAAATGACCTTTGACCCGCCCATAAAATAACAACTTCAAAGAATAACATACCTCTCGGCTACTTATAGTGCTCTTCTTGTTGTACTGTGCCAATCTTGACGCCTCTGATGCGATCCGTTCAAATATATCATTGACAAAGCTATTCATGATAGACATCGCCTTGCTTGATATTCCCGTGTCTGGATGAACCTAGATAAAACAAAAGGCGGATGAGCAAAGGAATTAATTTTACTTCAATAGGCCCTTTTCGTTTTTTAACAAAATGTTAATCTTTATTATGGCGTTGCCAGACTCGCCGGTTTCAGCAGATGCATGAGCGATGTATATATTTACTATTTATATGCCACACAAAAGACTTTCATGTGCTAGATTAGGCTATATATCATGCGATGAATATACCAAAGGCTTCAAGATTGTTTAGCCGTTTCCAGTTCAAGATCAAACCATTTTTAAAAGGGTCATCATTGAGCTAATAGAGACCGATATTGCGTCATTTTGCAAAGGCATTTGTTTTGCACAAAGCAATACCTTTCATCAGTTTGAGCCTATTGTTTTGTCCAAAAATGCAGGTGTGGCAAGGGAGTAACCGTGCAGAGAGGCAGAGCAAGCAAACCAAGTGTATTAATTCACAGGTGGTTGTGAAGCACCTCGATTGATACGAATGACTTCATTCACCTGTTATGTATAATTGTATCCCAATAGTCAGAACGCAAATGTTATTTTCAAAGCATTCAAAATCTCGATTGTTCAGGTTTTGTGAATGGCCATACCGACTGGTGTTGCAAAGTCTTCAAGAGTCGGATCGCATATAGTCTGGTCGGATACTGTGCCTTAGGTTTAATACACAGCCAGAGAGAATACATTCTTGAATGAGATTCTTTTGGGCGCCGTTTAAATCAAAATACTCTTATCTCAACAATTCAATCTTGTATCCACTCTTGAAAATAAAATGAAAGAAAACGAAAATGAAATTAGAGACGATTGAAATTGAAAACGATAAAAATGCATGAAAATGAATGAGAGCCAAATAAAGCTTGTATTTTTTTGGAAAGTTTTAAAAACGAAAACGAAGCAGAATTTACTTGTTTGAGGACTTTATAGATGTAGATGTTGTAGGATTCTAGACGCCTTCGTCTTCTCTTCTTATCCCCAGTACGACCGACTGCCATTGATTTGGACTTGACCGCCTTCTTCTCGCCTTTCGCAGCAGCACCTTTGGGAGGCATTGTGGTTTTGATATCGGCTCTGTAAATCAAGAGAATGGTAAACGAATGGTAAAAGAATGGCAAACGAATGGTAAACGAATGGTACGACCTATGGTCGAATCATGTTAAAAGCATGGTAAAGGCATGGTAAATGAATGGTAAAGGAATGATTAACAAATGGTAAAGGAATGATTAACAAATGGTAAACGAATGGTAAAAGAAAATATAAATACATTTATCGAGTATTCTGATGATTCCTTTCTTCATTTTGTTTTATCTTAATGTTGAAGAGATAAATATAACGAGATTTTTCAAATCTGTTAAAGCAAAGTTACGCCTGTATAATACTTTCCAAGTTCATTATTTTTTCCAACTTTGACATTTTCAAGTTTCAATAGCATTGTTATTTTAATAACAGGCTTCTCTTGTTAAAATGCTTCACGTAGAACTGCGGCTCTTGTTTTCTTGAAGTATCACCAATGAAATTGTTTCTAACCTAACAGCGATTAATTACATTAACAAAACTAAATTCGTACTTTTAAACTTTTTGTCCAATATTTCAAATTATCTAATTTCTGAATCACACTTTATGAACCATTGACAGAATTCAATCACACATTAAAGGATTTCCTTCCCTTCTTAACAACAAAATATCTAACATAACTTATCGTATTTGCTTACCTTGTAATTGTAAAGTCGAAAAAGTACGAGTCCTAAAACTTGATTGTTGGTATTGGCTATACGATACACTTCTCAAAACTGTATATTGACAACGCTTAAACCTTGGTTAAGAAGAACGTGGGTGCCTATAATAGCCTTCGACGGAGAAATGCTGGAACGCTGAATGTTCAGACTCAAATTGCATTCACATCATTTTTCTAGAACATGCAAATTAGGACCAGTTCATTCAGGAAAAAAGGGAGAGCCTAATTTTATTTAGATTCTATTTCTTCCTCATCATTCAATAACGTTTTCTCCCCATTTGATAAAAATAAAACACTTGAGATTTGAGTATTTCTTCAATCTAAGTTCAAAACAAAATAATTGTTCACCCTTACATTAGTATAAATTTTCATTTAACATTTAGTTTCAATTCCTTTTCTTTAGGATTCTAGTCCCTTCATTTTTAAGTCAAGCATATCACCCTCCGTCAAAAAATGTTTAAATCCAAGCAGTATAGAATAGAAAAGAATTTCGTGCAAATCGCATTGTTCCAATTCTAGCTGCATTTTGACATTCCGTCTTTTCAATAGATCCGTTCATTTTCAGAAATTCCGTGGATGTTTCCACTAACAATAGAAAGTAATGACTTTGCCAAAGCTCCAGTCACACTGATGGGACAGGCAACATACTGACAACAGACCGAAAGATAGATTTAAGTTGGCAAAGATTATATCGGTTTGGCGGTGTGACGGAAGCGGGCGAAAGTATAAAGTGTGTCCGGGGCTAATAAGCCAGTTCAACGTTGCAGTCTGAGCATGAGCAGATAAAGGTCATTGCAGACTAAACTGTGGATTACACGAAGACGACATGCTCATGTAAAAGATAATCATTATTCATTTATGCACAAGCCGTGCATTCCATGATACACAGGTGGAAGTATTCTTTGAAAAGAAGAAACAAAGGCTAGAAACACTTTTATTGCTGTAGGAGTGATTGTCTCTTATGGAAAAAATTTGGTCGGTTTGGCGGTGTGACTTAAGGATAAAGTGTCTTGTCACATACAGGGGCGTACGCAGGATTTTTTTTCGAGGGGGGGGGGGGGGGTTATTGCTGTAGGAGTGATATTTGAAAATAGCGCCGAAAATTTCGCAACGACTCAGCCAGCCGCTGAATAAGCCGGGGGGGGGGGGGGGGTAAGAGCATTTTTTTTTTTTTTTTTTTTTTTGGTCCAGGATTTGATGAAAAATTTCGCAACGACTCAGTCAGTAGATGAATAAGCGGGGAGGGGGGGGGGGGGGATAAGAGCTCATTTATTGTTTTGTCCCAAAAATTTGGTCCACCGTTATTTCGTTCATTTTTTTTTTGGGGGGGGGGGTGGGGGTAAAGTTACCCTTTAGCACACATATTTGTATATATTTTTTTTTAATAAATAAATTTGAGGGGGGTTTCTCCAAAACACACACAACCCCAACTCCTCAACCCCCCCCCCTTCCCCTGCGTACGCGCCTGGTCACAGAGATATAGCAACAACCTATGTGTGCAACCTGCATTCTGATTATTCAAATGCTTTAACAATGATTTTTGACAATGATAATGACAATGGTTTGATTTTCTTTAACGGCTCCTTCTGAGGCAAGGAAGAAATACAGTTGAATAGTACAAATATAATGTTCAACAATGATATTTATATACTAAAAAACACAGAAAATCTTCAAAACAAGAAAATCTTTGGCAGTACAAAGGTAGTACATTGTAGTATATGAGTAGCTTTGAGAGGGCACTGAATGATTTTTTTTTTTTTTGGGGGGGGGGGGGGGGCGAGGTTGGTCCCTATGTCTCCTTTTCTCGTCCTTTTCCCTGCTCTCCTTCCCTTTCCCTATAATATATCGCTTTGTCTTTATTCATTTTTCACCAATGGATGGAGACCCATATATTTCTATAGGCTACGTCGTCATCATCATGTCAACATCATCACTGATGTTCATCATCATCATCATCATCATCATCATCCTCACCATCTACATCAACATCATCATCATCATCATCACCATAATGCACCATCATTATCATCATCATCATCATCATCATCATCATCATCATGCACCATCCCACCATCATTATCATCATCAGCAGCATTATCATCTCCAGCAGCAGCATCAGCATCGTCATCGTAATAAAAAATAAAAAACATTTTGTGCGTGAAGGATGCTAGAAGAGTATGGTAGAGGTCATAATTATATCGCCGCTCCCTCCCCCCCCCCCCCCCCCCCCGAACCTAGCGCACTTTTTTTTTCACTTTACTTTTTTTCTTTGAAGACACCGTTTCTCACCTCCCAAGATCAGCTTTCGCAAAGTAAGAAACAGGTAAGAATTTAAAGCATTAATAATCACTATGCGATAAATTTTGTTTAGTAAATAAAGTTGTGTCGGCTATATCGTCATCCGAGTCACTGGGGACAAACTTGAGACGTACCTTATTTTCCAGCAATCTTTCTAAAGGATTCACGGTTGGGAGGTTGTCAAAGAAATCTATTGTCCACGATGCGAAGCTTCACACAGAACATTCCTACACGGGGGATTTCCTTCCACCACACAAATTTGTATTGATGCAAAAAATACTGGCTAGGACACTATTTCAAACGACATAATATTCTGTATTCTTAGTCTCTTTTCTATCATTCAATATGATAAATAATATGACTCAAAACACTATCAAACTGTCTATATATTCCTCGTGGTGTAAGTCCCCTCCTATGGGAAATTTGATGATGTTAAACACGTAAGGGGGACTTACACCACGAGGAATATATAGACAGTTTCATAGTATTTTTTTAGTCAGATTCTTTTGATTTATTGATAAACTATAACAGCGAATATTCTTTTAACATCTCTAGGTAACTTCAATATAATCAAATAAAATGACTCAAAACACTATAAAACTGTCTATATATTCCTCGTGGTGTAAGTCCCCCTTACGTGTTAAGATCATCGAATTTCTCGTAGAAGGGGACTCGCACCACGAGGAGTATATTAGTCGTGGTGTAAGTCCCCTTCTATGGGAAATTTGATGATTTTAACACGTAAAGGGGACTTACACCACGAGGAATATATAGACAGTTTTATAGTGTTGTTTAGTCAGATTCTTTTGATTTTAGTGATAAAGTATAATAGCGAATATTAATTTAACATCTCTAGGTAACTGTCTGAAAGTGGCAGTGTGGTCTTGAAGAGGAGGGAAATGAGGGGTAGATAATATCAACGGGTTAATTGCCGTATCGTATTAATTTCGGAGGGGGGACTCGCACCACGAGGAGTATATTAGTCGTGGTGTAAGTCCCCTTCTATGGGAAATTTGATGATGTTAACACGTAAAGGGGACTTACACCACGAGGAATATATAGACAGTTTTATAGTGTTTTTTTAGTCAGATTCTTTTGATTTATTGATAAACTATAACATCGAATATTCTTTAAACATCTCTAGGTAACTTCAATATAATCAAATAAAATGACTCAAAACACTATAAAACTGTCTATATATTCCTCGTGGTGCAAGTCCCCTTTACGTGTTATGATCATCAAATTTCTCGTAGAAGGGGACTCGCACCACGAGGAGTATATTAGTCGTGGTGTAAGTCCCCTTCTATGGGAAATTTGATGATTTTAACACGTAAGGGGGACTTACACCACGAGGAATATATAGACAGTTTTATAGTGTTGTTTAGTCAGATTCTTTTGATTTTAGTGATAAAGTATAATAGCGAATATTAATTTAACATCTCTAGGTAACTGTCTGAAAGTGGCAGTGTGGTCTTGAAGAGGAGGGAAATGAGGGGTAGATAATATCAACGGGTTAATTGCCGTATCGTATTAATTTCGGAGGGGGGACTCGCACCACGAGGAGTATATTAGTCGTGGTGTAAGTCCCCTTCTATGGGAAATTTGATGATGTTAACACGTAAGGGGGACTTACACCACGAGGAATATATAGACAGTTTTATAGTGTTTTTTTAGTCAGATTCTTTTGATTTATTGATAAACTATAACATCGAATATTCTTTAAACATCTCTAGGTAACTTCAATATAATCAAATAAAATGACTCAAAACACTATAAAACTGTCTATATATTCCTCGTGGTGCAAGTCCCCTTTACGTGTTATGATCATCAAATTTCTCGTAGAAGGGGACTCGGATCACGACTAATATACTCCTCGTGGTGCGAGTCTCCCTCTATGGGAAATTTGATGATCTTAACACGTAAGGGGGACTTACACCACGAGGAATATATAGACAGTTTTATAGTGATTTTTATTCAGATTCTTTTGATTTATTGATAAACTATAACAGCGAATATTCTTTTAACATCTCTAGGTAACTGTCTGAAAGTGGCAGTGTGGTCTTGAAGAGGAGGGAAATGAGGGGTATATAATATCAACGGGTTAATTGCCGTATCGTATTAATTTCGGAGGGGGGACTCGCACCACGAGGAGTATATTAGTCGTGGTGTAAGTCCCCTTCTATGGGAAATTTGATGATGTTAACACGTAAAGGGGACTTACACCACGAGGAATATATAGACAGTTTTATAGTGTTTTTTAGTCAGATCCTTTTGATTTTAGTGATAAACTTTAACAGCGAATATTAATTTAACATCTCTAGGTAACTGTCTGAAAGTGGCAGTGTGGTCTTGAAGAGGAGGGAAATGAGGGGTATATAATATCAACGGGTTAATTGCCGTCTCGTATTAATTTCGGAGGGGGACTCGCACCACGAGGAGTATATTAGTCGTGGTGTAAGTCCCCTTCTATGGGAAATTTGATGATGTTAACACGTAAAGGGGACTTACACCACGAGGAATATATAGACAGTTTTATAGTGTTTTTTAGTCAGGTTCTTTTGATTTATTAATAAACTTTAACAGCGAACATTAATTTAACATCTCTAGGTAACTGTCTGAAAGTGGCAGTGTGGTCTTGAAGAGGAGGGAAATGAGGGGTATATAATATCAACGGGTTAATTGCCGTATCGTATTAATTTCGGAGGGGGACTCGCACCACGAGGAGTATATTAGTCGTGGTGTAAGTCCCCTTCTATGGGAAATTTGATGATTATAACATGTAAGGGGGACTTACACCACGAGGAATATATAGACAGTTTTATAATGTTTTTTAGTCAGATTCTTTTGATTTATTAATAAACTTTAACAGCGGATATTAATTTACATCTCTAGGTAACTGTCTGAAAGTGGCAGTGTGGTCTTGAAGAGGAGGGAAATGAGGGGTAGATAATATCAACGGGTTAATTGCCGTCTCGTATTAATTTTGGAGGGGGGACTCGCACCACGAGGAATATATAGACAGTTTAATAGTGTTTTACTTCAATCTTAATAGGCCTACTAGATAAATTGGCTCGACTAAATAAGGCAATAATATCATTTAATAAAATTATAATGAAAGTCATATTTCGTCTTCAATAACCGTTAAAGGCATGATGAAATCAATCAATATAATATTTATTCATTCAGCCTAATTAATGGTTGACTAAATAAATGTGAATTATAGTTTGCTTTATTTAGTGAAGGACTTTTATTAGGTTTACTAGATAAATTGGCTTGACTAAATAAAGCAATAATATAATTTTTAAAAATTATAATGAAAGTAATATTTCGTCTTCAATATCATACAGCCTAATCAGTGCTTGACTAAATAAATGTGAATTATAGTTTGCTTTATTCAGTGAAGGACTTCTAATAGGCCTACTAGATAAATTGGCTTGACTAAATAAAGCAATAATAATCATTACAAAAAATTATAATGAAAGTAATATTTCATCTTCAAAGGTACCATTAAACGCGCGCTTTGGTGGAAAAAATTTGGAAGGTAGGACATGTTTTTCAGATTAAAAAGTGTCTGTGGATCCGAGTCCCTGGGGACTTGGATCACGATAATGCCGTTGTGTCATTTAAAACTATCAATTAATCCCTATGCTATCGAAATTCGGGACTTCATTTCATTTAAATGATCTCAAACTGACAGTTATCTGATCTTGCCTTGTATTTCCCAGCACAATAATGAGCGTGTGGGAACGCAGTAGAGTCTAGAAACAGTTGTTGATCCTCGACTTGATGAATACCGGTAACCGCAAGCGCTGTAGAAGATCTATTACTAGTTTACATACATAATTGGGCAGATAGATCAGACTTTCTGTTATGTAGTGCATATCCTGAGGAATTTCGTACGGAGTGTGCTTCACTCCCGGTGGCGGTATGAAATTACACTAGCATCCCTTGTTTGTGAAATTTTGTGAAGTCTTTTTTTTTTTTTTTCTTAATCTCAGCTCAGTCAGCACAGACACAGTAGACTCTAGAACTAGATCTAGATCTACGTAGACATTATCATTCTGACTTTTTCTGGTAAAAAAAGTCCTTCATTCACTTGACTCAGCTCTCAATCTTCAATCTCTCTTTCTCTCATATTCTCTTCCCCTCAAGTTCAACTCAACTAGATGATAGATCCATTTTAGCAGTGTTTTTCATGTGGGGACGCAAAAACATGTATATATTTTGTTATGGCCTTAATATAACTCTCTCTCTCTCTGTCTCTCACAAATGTGTCAAACACCAGTTTTAGGATGAGGCTGCGGGGGGATGGAGTCCGTCTCGAACTCTCCCAGCCCAGCGGAGGAGCAAAGGTCAAAGATGACAAGGAAAGAGCGAGCTGCTATGAGACGCCAGAGGTTGGTAGCAGTGAACAATGATCGCGGAGGATCAGTGTCACGTGTATGCATTGATCTCAGCCTTGGACATCTCATGAGTGAAAAGGTAAGAAAGGTCTGTTTTTGGTTGGAGGTCCAATAAAATAACATCGCTATTTATGAAAGGACACCTACCCCCTAGGACAACTAGCCCCTAGGGTAACCACCGTCTAGGACGACTAACCCCTGGGAAAACTACCCCCAGACAACTACCTCCCAGTAAACTACCCCCTAGGACAACTACCCCCCGGACAACTACCACTCAGACAACTACCCCCCAGACAACTACCCCCTACGTCAACCATCTTCTTGGACAACTATCCTAGGGAGTAGTTGTCCGGGGGGGGTAGTTGTCCGGGGGGGGGGGGGGTAGCTGTCCGGTGGTAGTTGTCGTAGGTGGTAGTTGTCGTAGGGGGAAGTCGTCTGGGGGGTAGTTTTCCAGGGGTAGTCGTGCTAGAGGGTGGTTGCCCTGGGGGGGGGGGGGGGGGGGTAGTTGTCCTAGGAGGTAGTTGACTGGGGGTGGATGTCCAGAGGATAGGTGCCTGGATATGGTATGAAAGTAATGAAGGTACTGTAGAGGTAGTCTTGCGTTCCTGTAACCACAGACATAAAATTCTCACCGAATCAAATAAAACTAAAGATGATTGTTCAAGGCAATTACAATTTATCAGTCAGACAAATTTGGTTATCCTTACAGGCATTTTCTCAGGTATTTCCAGAGTATTTTTATTTTTTCCTCTAGTTCTTTTTTTTTCATTTAAAGTACAAATTGTGTCCTGCATTTCATTTCAATAGTGATGCCAAGCAATCGGTTGTCATTTGAAAGTGATCCCAATTTTGCTTGCTTTTGTGTCTCATTATTCGCCAACGAGTAGGAGATTGGGGGTCTTGTTTGTCAGATCAGACAGGTGTACGGAGCTAACAGACAAGCTGATAGACCCATGCAGGTCTGGTTGACCAGTCTGGACACAGAGGGCAGCATATATAAAGCATCACTCACAAAGAATGACGGATTTGAACACTATGTGGTGGGTGCACTCTTTCCTTTTGTCGTTCGGTTGTGGTGGGTGGTGGTTGTAAATTAGATTTTTTTTTTTGAGGGGGTGGGGAGAAGGCAATTGATCTGCACCCTCAAGTCAATCATAACTTGAGAAAATCAGAATAAACATTAGTCAATCAACAATTTATTACTATTTTGTCTACAACCTTTGAATAATTATAGATTTTATGTGGTATTAAACATGAGTACTTGTTCTTTTCTGACAATTGACCAGATTCATTGAAGGTCTAAGATTTAGTCTAAAAAATTATTTCGAAATGCTCAGTCCTTTGTCATTTCATTACTAAATTGGAGATGTGAGATTTTATTTCATGAAAACTGAACTCTGAGACGTTATTTTCAAAATGACAGTTCTGCTCTTCGCTGCTCTAAGCAGTTATGTGATCTACAACTATGGTGTTGCAGAAGAGATTAGGATAATGCCTTTGAAAGCTTGGGCTTTCTTTTAAATCTTGGAATATTGTTTCTTACACCACCTTTCTCTATAGCAAACTATCATTCATGATATCACTGATTATTTTTTTTGTTTACCTTTCATGGATCTTTATGTTTTTTTATTTACATAGATGAACAAGACCAGTCAACATTACAGTGCAATATTTTCTCAGGAAGAAATCGTTTATCTCACTCCCGATTCCCCAAATGGTAAGAAAAGAGATGCTGATATATAAGGCATTTATTGAAGTATATATTATGTACCTCACATTAGGTTTTACAAGTTCATCTAGACTATAAAACCTTTTCTACATTTAGCCGCTGATGCATGTCAGGTCAGGTTGGCTGGAAAAGAGAAGAAATTGAATTTATATCTTTCTAATTATTATATTATTTCAAAGCAAAGATTTCTTATTTCCTTATTGGTCTACCAACCTGAAATCAAACTTCAGAAATCCATCTTTCTCTTTTATCTTTATTATTCATGTTGCTCCCTTTACCGACACAGTACATTGCTTTCAGGATTAACAGATCAAACTTGTCAGCTAGAATCGTTATCATAATTCCCTGTGATTATTTAATTTTTTGTTTGGCAATTTCTTACACCGAATTTAAACCAAACAGAAGATTTAATAACATTAAATGAGTTTTACTCACTGTTTCTCCACTATTGCACATGTGACAAAAATGATTTCCCCTTCTGTTTCTTGTTTTGTTCTATTTTAGTTTTAACTGAAATCCAGGACAGCAAGGTGTATATCATTGGTGGCCTGGTCGATGAATCAGTATTAACTGTAAGTTTCTTGTGAGGTCATTTATTTATTCTTTTGACCAGGGCCCCGTCTTACAAAGAGTTGCGATTGATCCAAATCAATCGTAAAGTCCTCCAATCAATCGCAAGTTTGCAGTCTCTTATGTACATAGTTACGATTGATATCAACTCTGTGTAAGACAGGGCTCAGAATATTCATCAATTCAATTGGAACTTGATGAATATACACACAATTGGACAACTGGTAAATAAGCTATTTTGTTTTAATCAAAGAAACGATTCAGGAAAAAATAACTGACTTTGAATCTGTATCCTGTCCTATTCATGGCTGAGAGAAACCTGGATTATGTCTGTTTGGAACTGCTTGATATTGTCAAAATGTATTCTTAATGAAATAAGCTTTTATTGGCATGTGCTTTGAAAACCTGCTCTTATTAGTGAAATTACTTGTATAGAAAGATCTCCTGTCTGAAAAGGCCACATCGTTTTCCCTTGAATAGTATTTCTCTGCATTTCCTTTTTTTGTAACACCCTATGTTATTATTACTTGTGTGTCTGGGCAATGTTTTATGAAACTGTCATTAGTACAAGTTCATCGAAATATGTGTATTAAGTTTAACACGTGTTTCAATGGGATGTCGGTGAACTTGGACTCATGATGGTTTCATGAAACGAGGCCCAGGTGCATTCAATTGTGACGCCTTTTTCCACTTGTCCTACGGTTTTAAGTTATTTTCTTTATATTTTGAATGTTATTATGTCAATTTATATGTAATTTTGATATTGTTATCTGTTATGATAGTCCATCTTTTATCTTTTTATATATTGTGATGATGACGGCAATAAATGTCAATTCAACTTTCATTTCATTTCATTAAAAGGTGCATTAAATAACCTATGCTTATAAATGTGAAGCCCATATTTCATGTCTCCCTCGAGTGGTCTTTATATGTTTCATTGTATCAGAATTTAGGGAGTGCAAACGGTGGAATAAACTGTTGTCTTTTTTCTCTTTAATGCAGAATATGACCTTTGACCTTGCCAAAAAAAGAAGTTTCCATACTGCCAAACTACCTATATTAAGATGCATGAAGCATGCAGAGAGAGGAACATTCAGCCAAGTCCTTGCCATAAACCAAGGTAAGGAGAAGTTTGTATATATGGAAAGAGACAGGGAGGGATAAAGGGAGAAGGGGGTGGGAGAGTGAAAGCAAGAGAGAGAGAGAGAATGAGAAAAAAAAACTAAAAGAGAGAGAGAGAGACAGAGAGAGAGAATATGAGAGAGAAGTAAAGAGAGAGAGAGAGAAAGAAAGGAATGAGAAAGAAAGAGAGAGAGAGAGAGAGAGAGAGTGGGGGGGGGGGGTGGGAAAGGAGAGAGTGTGTTTGTGTATGAGAGACAGGGGAAGAGGAACAGAATAGGGAGAGAGAGAGAGATAGTTAGAAAAAAAATAGAAGGGTTAGAGAGGAAAAAGGAGATAGGAGGGATCAAGATAGAGAAATGTTTAGCCTCTATTTCTCAAAATTGTCCATGATTACAAGCAGTTGTATGTCAGCTTTAGTTCAATGCGTTTTTTTTCTTCAAGAACCTAACTCCACGTTGGTTTTTTTAATATTCGCTCGTATGGTAAAGACAGTTCTGTGAAACACTACAAGTAGAGCGACAGCATCGAGATGTCATTGATCTTGTACTAATGATGGTATCGTAAAACAATGCCCTGTATATTGACTTGTACATGTATTGTTTCTTTCTAAATTGCAGTGTTTGATATCCTGCTGAAGTATTACAATACAGGGAACTGGGAGTCGTCTGTCGTAGCCGTCATGCCAAAGAGAAAAGGCTTCATTCCTAAATGATAGGTCAGGGATACTTCAGGAGCAGTCCCAAGTGCATCCACCAAGGAAACATAAAAACCTGATGGCTCCCTTGAAGTAACATGAAGTGTTTTGTTGCTATTTATGATAGAAGTCTATTGGATACATCACCAATCTGTTGATGACATAGTTTGTCCCAGCCTTGTATGTGTTTCCTTTGCCAAGACCTTGGTGTACATTTGCCACATTTCTTCTTATTCTTTTAATTTGAAAAGTGCAGTGTAGGTTCTCTTCCTCCACATTAATATTCTTATAATTATAACTTCCAATGTTTATCATTATACATATACTTCCCTGTAATCATGCATTTTCACTGTTTCTAAACATTTAAGTTTCTATGACAGTCATCACAGTGTTGTTTAGGTCATTTTTGTGGATGAATTATGTACAATACTATTGTTGGTAAACAAACAAGTTCTAATGTTTAAGACAATTTTAGAAGGTAAGGTTTAACTTTAACCAACCTTGCTTCTGAGAAAGTAACTATTTAGTCTGGATGTAAGTATTGTCTGGTACAATTCTACTTTAATAGTACACTTTCCTTAATCTCAGATTTTCAAACTTTTCTCATCTTGTAGTCCCCAAAACAACAACATCATGGGGGAATGGTCTTTTGCACAAGCTAGATCAGGGCCCTGTTTCACAAAAATCGTTATCAATAACAAGATTCAATAACTGTTATAAGCTACTGAAATCGTGGCATCTGATTGGCTGAGAGCTAAATTGTCATAGGGTTTTTGTATTTTTTATTGATCATGATGTTGATGAAAAAGGGCCCTGTTCTATGTAACCAGTTACCACAGGCTCTTAAAGTAATAGCAAGTGTGAACTCATTTGAATTTCTCTCAAACCTCGCTTGTACAAAACTGCTTTTGATTAATTCAATATTTCAACATTGCATCTATAACACTCACAAGTGTATTTTTATGTCAACTTCTTTTTTCGATGTACTTTCTTTTACACTTATTTCTATTGTTTATGTACTATTTATTGTAATTTACATTTAAGTATAGTTTATATTTTACACTCTCAACGCCTTGAGCATGTTTTGCAAAATGGATATGGCGCTTTACAAATAATCATCATTATTATTATTTTACTCTTGCCAAGATGAAATATTTTTTTCAATGTTTTTATGTCACCTTGTTATTATTTCAATGCAATTAAAGAGTTTTAATGAAGCTACTTATAATGTTGAGAACTGTTATCAACAACTGGTTTTGTTGTATTGGATAGGTAGTTTTGTTATAGAACTTTGGTAAATGTTTTTCAAAGACATGTTTTATTAATCAGTGGCATAGTTGTGCAAAGTAGTGGACAGCCTCGTTCAAAGGTTGAAATTATGCCTTTATCTTGTTAATGTTCATATTTGCATGTTTATAGTGTACCTGATTTTGTATATTGAGTTGTACTTGTTAGTATTGAATTCCCCTCGATCCTTCAAGGAAGCTACCCGAATACGTAACACATGGCGTAAATACTCATAACTGAATGATACACGCCTACAAAACTAAAACAACAACAACAGAATAAAGATACAAGAAGAAACAGAGCGTGTTCTTATTTAATATTTATTGAGAACCTAAATAGTACATATGTGTAGAAAATATAAAACATATATTGGAACTAATTGATCTCCATAGACATTAAGTACCTCAATATGCCAATTTTCTAGCCTTATCGTTCTAAATGTCCATGAATAATATAAAGTGCAATAATACAAAAATACTTTGTGCATTTGGTCAACATTAAACAGATTTTGTACTTTTTTTTCTGCGGCAAAGATTAGCGGTCGGCATTCGAATGAAAAGAGAAAGAGAAAGGTGTACGAAAGTAAAAAAGAAGGAGAGAGAAAGAGAGAAGAGAAAGAATAAAAGAGAAATAAAGATAAGAGAAAAAGAAAGAAAGAGAAAGGGAAAAGATCAACTGAAGAGAAAGCATAAGGGAAAGATAGAGAGAGAGAGAGAGAGAGAGAGAAATTAAGACAGAAACAAAAGGGCAATGAAATAAAAGAGAAATAAAGAGAGGAGAAAGAAATAAATAGATAAAGAGAAAGAAAGGGAAAGAAAGAGAAGGAGAAGGGAAAAAGAGAAGAAATATGGAGTTAGAGAGAGAGAATCAAGGGAAAAAAAAGGGAAATTACAAAAGGACAATGATTTGAAGTCAATACGCCTTCCTCTCACAGCCTCCAACCACTCGATCACAATTTGTCCACCTCGGGATATTTCAATATTAATGCACATATTTTCTGTTAACAAGCAGAAAATGTAATATGATATTGATACGAGCTTGAATTCATGAAATGAAATGTATCTCTAATCTATTGCATTAAGTTATGGTTAAATAGAATTTTCTTTGGTTATCTACTTATTGCAGCGATCTTAGCTTTATCAATCACTTAATAAACTGCTTTAAGATGCGTGACGAAAAACCGGTTCCTATTGGGGTAGTATCGACTAAGGGGGAGAAGGGAGGGTCTCACCTTGGAGTTGAATACCATACAGTAAAGTCACAGGGTAGATAAGGGTCGTGGTGGTGGTAGGGGAGCTCTTATCATCTTCTTTCCACGTTCCAATACATATTGTTCATGTCTCCCTCCTTTACTTCACAGTTTATTGATTTATCTACTGAAAAAAAATTCACTCCGTCTTATTCAGCCGAATTGAATTCTTTAGTTGTTCTTCTTCTTATCGAGTCACTACACAAGTCCCGTCCAGTGGTCCACACAGGCTTTAGCACGGCAATTAACGGCTTCCAGGTCATCTTGGGTGCATGCCTCTGGCAGGAGTGGGCAGACTAGCAGGTGTTCCATTGTCTGTTCCTGGCCGCATTCACATGCCGTTTGTTCGTCTCCTAGACCCCACCTCTGCATTAGGACTCTGCATCGACCGTAGCCAGTTCTTAGGCGGTTGAGGCTAAGCCAGGTAGGCCAAGTCTCACTGGAGCCGGTTGCGAGGGATTCCTTCGGGCTGAGGGAGAGTTTATGTGGAGTGGTCTGAAGGTGGTTAGACCACAAAGTCATCCTTTGGTTGTGAGGGCTAGTATTAAGAGGCTCTGCCGAGTGCAGAAAGCTGTGTCTGGATTTGAGCCGCTTGCCCACTGGCTGTTGTTCGAAGAGTGGGTGGAGTGGATTGTTTTCTTTAGTTGTTAAAACAATGTTAAAATTCAATATTTTCGCAATGCGAAGAGGAAAGGGGGAGAGGGGTGGGGATTCCCCTTTGACCTCGTTGCGAATCCATTTAATATTCAATTACAAAGCCAAGAGGGAGACATCAAACATCAAAGAGTAGATTGGTCTTACTGCGTCGCTTTTGGCAGGAAGGAAGTCCGAAATTTAATTCAGCAGCTTGAGACAAAAATGTAATGTTTGACACTTTTTGGAGTGAACATTCCCCCAAAATAGCACATAATCATACTTCCGCCCAACTGTGAGATAATTTGGGCTTCTCCAATATGATGATATTCGGGCACCTCGTTGCCGGTATTGGAGGTGTTAGTTTCTCGAATATCGGAACTTTAGAAAACCCCGGGCTACTGTCCCTTCATCCGTCGCGCAGGGGCGGATCTAGCTTTTTGCTAAGGGGGGGGGGTTGACCAAAATAATGACGATGCGGAGCATCGTCCACGAGCCGCGAAGCGGCGAACCGATTTTTTGGGGGGTGTTTATTTGAACCCCGTAAGTGATGTTTTCCTGGCATCTATTAACACAATGGAGACCATAAAAAGCAGTGCATGATAACGTCTTTTTAAATCAAGTAACAGTTAAATGCACAGTTATATCCAGAGTTATCATGTGTTTGGTTAAGTTACCAGATGAGTTGAAAATCTTCTCACAATATTTGCACTTGAAAGGGTTTTCTCTCCAGCGTGCGTTCTTTTTTCTTTCTTTTTTTTTTCACTTCGGCGGTGGCCCGTGTCCTCAAAAAAGCTGATGGGGGGGGGGGGGGGGGGGGGGGGGGGGGGGGGGGGGGGGGCAAGGGACTCTGTGACATTTGTTCACCCAACCCCCCCCCCCCCTCCCCCCAAAAAAAAAATAATAATAATAATAATAATAATAATAATAATAATAATAATAATAAATGAAATAAATACATAGAAATAGAATAAAATAAAATTACAAGTTTTAAAAAAAAGATAAGATTTAAAAAATGGTCCCCGGATTTTTTTTTTGGGGGGGTTGCAACCCCCCCCCCCCCCAACCCCCCTCTAGATCCGCTTCTGGTCGCGTCATACGTCTAGAAGATTTAATGCACTCCCTCGTCCCGAAAATCATGTACTGTTAAATTAATACTTTTTAAGAAACTTTAAATGCCAAACATGTTATTTAATAATACTATTAATACTTTAAAACATTACTACTAGGGGAAACTTAATCATCTCATATTTTCTCTTAAGATGGGGAATGCAGAGCTTTTACACAATTTGGGTTTAAATCAATGTAAGCTGAATTTAATCTGAACCTGCCTTAACGAAATTTTCATATTAATTTAACAAATCCATGTATTATTTATACACTTCTGATACCCAAAATAAACAGGCAAGAAAATCTATCAAAGCATGTCTTGCAAAAATATTATTCAGAAAACTCTTTTCGTATGATTACGCAAAAGAGGTCAATGTCATGAGTCACGCGTCTTCTCCTTAAGATGACCTCCACATTTTGGTCACATGATCCGTGTTATTCATACGTCAGCAGGAACGCTAAGACGTCGCTCAACGCAAGGCGAAAAGTCTAATGTCTGCGGGGAATCGGTGACATTGACGGCCACCGACGTGATCACTGTCATGCCATGACTCTCTCGTCGAGAAGTATTCGGTGGTCGTTGATCACCGGTAACGGGGGATTGCTCTCCGTTCTTAACCTCCTCAACGGAGATCACCGACGCTGGTACGTCCTCGCTGACCACGTGAATGGTGACGCCGTCCTGTCGTCCTGATAGGTTCTCGCCATCTCCCGCTGCGTGGTGCGTCTTTATGAAAAGCTGATCACGACGGCCGCCAACGCCACCGTCGACGATCTCGGGTGAAGACGGCTCGTCGAGTTGGATGATCTCGAGGGATTGTTCTTGACCGGAGTGGGGTTGGTCGTTCTCGTCTTGGGTGATGTCGGAGCCTCGCTGGGACCAGCAGGGTCGGCAGATCTCATCGTCGAATGTCACATCCTGGTCGTTCTCCTGATCGAGGTAGTCATCCTAGTAGTGAAACAAAAAGAAATGTAAATGTAAAAGCGACCGCATATCAGGGACGTTAAAGGCAAGCTTTTGTCAAGCTTTTCCCCCAAAATTTGAAATGTTATTTCTCTACCTCTTTGGATAAAATGATTGTGACAATAACATGTATACAAACCCCTATAACTAGTTAGGACTTTATTGATAAATCTGAAGAGTCATACAGATTGATCAAACAAGTTCTGAGCAAATATAAGCTTTATCTATTAAGGATAATTCACCTTACCACAATCATTTCATTAAATAAAAATAATAATATTCGGTCCTTGTATAGCGCATATCACATTATGTAACGTCTCTATGCGCTTTCAAAGAGCTTTGGAAATTATTACCCTAGCTTTAGCTCCGGTAGCCGTAATCGACGCACAGTGCATTTTAAGGAGGTAAGGAAACAACTTTTCATAATTTATAGGCAACAGTGTATTTGACTCACTAAAAGCTAGATAACTGTACCATTTCTTCAAACAGTACACGTTCACGATAATAAACATGAATTTGATTCGAAGGAAACCTTTTCACATTATCGTACAAGCGATTTAAAAGTCAGAGTAGCCGATCCAGGGGTGAGAGACGAGCATTACCCCAGGGAAACCTAAATAAATCTGGCGTTCCTATAGGGTAGCCCTAAACCTGAAGTGGAATGCAAACACACAAATAAAAGAATATACCCTATTGTTGTGCTTGCACTTTCGTGAAGTCAAAACGTTTAGATTCATATCTTTTTTCAATCCGCTTTTAATTGGCTTACTTCGAAGCATCGGGTGATCGCGTCCTGTCGGGGTAGTGACCACTACATTTTGTTTGTTTTTGTGCTCAACGAGGAGGGAGGAGGGAAAGTGCCCACTATTTTGTTTTGATTCAAACCCCACTCACCCCTCCTTGAACAGGGGAGGGGGCCCGTCTCCTTTTTTTTTAGAAGAAGTAAAATTAACGTGTCTTTGCCAGTTTTTTGCCAGGGGAGGGGGCCGGGCCACCAAGCCCCCCCCCCCCCCCCCCCCCACGGATCCGCCACTGGGAAAAGGACAGGTAATGGTTATTGCTATTTAATGCATACTTTTTGTTAAATTCAAAGGCAAAAGGGATTTTATTTTTTTGTTAAGCATCCGAACACCCCCCTCCCCCCCCCCCCGTCATAATCCAAGAAATCTAATTAAATGCAGTGTTTTGCAGAACACACCTAAGGGAAATTATAAAGTGCTGTTCCGATCCATTATATACAATCAAAATAATGAGGCCCAAGCAAAATGCGTTTAATTGAAAAGTACGTGTTATCAAATCAGAATAAGAAGTGGTAGCAGGTGCATAATTATGTTTCGTTTCGTTTTGAAGGCTAGAAAGCAATTTAACCATAGTAACCTAGATATTGCGGGGCACTTTCACAATGGGAGGGGGCACGGATTTTAGTCCCTTAATCTAATTAGTGTGATGAGATGTCTGCGCCTTGGAACGTCCTGCGCCTTTAGATATTCTAAAGATGAAGCAAACTATCTGTATTCTCTTTTTTTAACGATCTCTTTACAAAATATATTCATGTGTATGCAATATGTTTTTTGATGTGGAGTATAAAACCCACACAAACCAAACGAAATCTGGCGCCATGTAAATGCTTCAAATAATCATCATTATGGTATTTATATCTGCTGTGAATTTGTATCATCACCATGATCAAATGAAAAGCGATTCAACAAGGTCTTCGATTGGGAACTGACATTAGAGATTTAATGTTTCATCATTTTCCTTCCATTCCTCCCCCCCCCCCCCCCCCCAACTCATCCCTTTGTACCATCCCTACACTTTCCGCCCCCATCGCTACGCCGCTGATGGTACCCATGCTACGGTCTTTAAGAATACTTACAAATTCATCGATGTCTTCAAACTCTTCCCTCTTTTTGTGTCGATGTTTCCGAAGGACCCGGCGGTGCGCCAAAAGGTGATGAGTGTGTCGATCTAAAACAAAACAAAATTGAAATAAAATATTGTCACGAATGTGTGGTTTGTAAGAGAGTATGACAAGTCCAAAAATATTAACATCTAATATTATGTGAGTGTGATTCAGGAAGAAAACATCGGGTGTATGCAGAGTGATTATCAAGAAATGCCTTCGATGTTTTTGACAAAGTTAGAAGTAGATTGTTTATTACAAATATAAATAGAAAAATAAATATGTTGATTAAAAAAAAAGAGAATAGTGGGCTATTTCGCCCGCCTTGAAGATTCTACCATGCATGCAGACTCAACCAGTAGAGAGGAGACATAGTGCTGCTTTCAGATATTATACATCTCCAAGTTTCTTCTTGCCCCTGTCAGACCAATGGCGTGTCCAGGAATGAATAATATTAAGTGGAGGGGAGTGGGGCGGAACGAAACATACGTCAGTTACGTACTCTATGAAAAGTGGGATGGGGGATCCGTCAGCACTTAAGGAAACGGTAAAAACCCTGTTAAATGAAGTTTTATTGGTCAACTCACATCCGTATGCAATTGAAATTTCAGGTAAATTTGTCGCGAAAGGACCTACCTCAGTTGCAAATTGTTCGGCCATGGTATTGGCCTTCGCATACAAGCATGTGTCGACAACTACACCGACGCGAAGTTCATTGTTATAGATCTGCACCGAAAAACTCATGAAAGAATTTCTCCCTGGTGGAAACCACTGGACAATGCTTAACACTGTGGCTCCGGCCAAGGACATGGTCGTCTGTGATGATTGGAAATGACTGACCAGGCACTGACCACTAGCGAGTGTCTTTGAGAGCCAGAGAGCTGAGAACCTGGATGGAATGAGAAGTGTCAGGATCTGGAGGACGCCGCAGGAGATGGACTGAGCGCAGTATTGCTGTAGAGTTCTGGTGGTGCGTAGGGTGTCCCACAGTCTTGGGATGATTCCTTCTGTGCGCAACGGCAACTGCACAGGGATTGTGGCGAATTGCGCATCCAAAGGCACTTCCGGTGTACAACTGATGACACAAGCGTCACTGCATCTTTGGAAGCTATACAGAAGATTGGTCATGAAGGTCTCTGAGCCTTGCTGCAGGGTAGCATGTGGCAAGATGGAACGTACGGTACCCGCAGCGGCACATAACGCGAAGTCCGATATGTGGCAGTTCGCTACAACTCTACTTTCGAGGACCTGCTGAAAGTTGACGGGACGAGACCAAGCGATTGCATGTTTACCGCTAGGACTCATTCCGGGAAAGACATTGGGTGAGTTGCTTCTGGAGGATAATTTGAAATATGCTATGAGTAAAGGTCCAAAGAGCACAGCACTGATGATGCTCAATAAAGGATGCGACGAGTTCTGTTCTTCTGGCGGTTTGCGCGAATGGACACTCTCTGTTACAGGCTGACACAGAAGATCAAGAAAGGCATTTCCATTGGCGAAACACGGATGCACACGCACAAGAAGATAGGTCCTGTTCTCCCAACCACACTGAAGCAATTGGATATTCCAGAGTGGCCTTTCGGATTCAAATTCCTTATCAGCCATGAGGGCGATATGCGTTTCGACGTCTACCTCAGACTTAAACTTCCCAGCCAATTCAGTCACATGATTCTCCAAGGAGAAATCGTTGTCCCGGTACCAAGCACAAGACACCCACGTCCTCACTAACCGTTTCTGAAGCCGCAGAAAGGAATCCGAACCTGCGGTGTTTGGATTCGAAATTCTGTTGGATATGACGTCGCGCACTGAGTTTACCGTGACATAACTATCAAGTTTGATAAGGCACTGTAGAATCGATGGTGAGTCTTTGCTTGTGAGGAGCCAGAAGAGTTCTGTCGTAGTAAGAAACTCTGGACAGCTTCCGAAGATGTGAGAACAACATGAATTGAGACGGTATACCATCCAGGCGATCACCACTATCACCAAGACGACGACAAGTATGGGTATACTTACGAAGATCCATACTACTGATAAGGCTAGGACAGTACAGCGTGTGAGGAATGAAACGGTGTGCTTTTCGATTGTACTTTGTGAGATTCTGGAGCTCTTGGACGGCTCCATGTGTCCTTCCTCTTTTAGGTCTCGCAGTAAGAAAAATATTTATGTAAGACCTAATGCTAGTCCTCGTGCTAGCGACCATGAGAGCTCTCTAAAACAGAATCTTGTTAAGGTGCTCTCTAGTGGAGTCGCTCTTGGCTCATTCTTTCCACTCATCTTAAGGTTGACAGACAATCCTCCATCGATGTCAAACTAGTATGAAATTTCTCCTCTTTGATCAATCGGTTATGCGCGTACGTGATTGTATGCACATTTAAAAAGTGCATGTAATGAAATCCTTTGAAACCTGACAAGAGTGTTCCATTTTTGTTAAACCTTATTGCGGTTGCAGTTAGTCGGCTTCAAATGAAACCGCAATCCTAGAGATTCATATTGACATCATAGGATGAAACAAATCCATGCAATCACGTGACAGTCACTTTAAATGGCAATCTGGGAAGCACGTCTACGTCGAATACGTCTTCAAGTGTCCAATCTGTTCATAAGGGCTTCTTAATTGTACACGTGGCGGAGACAATGGTACAGGATCCGGTGACGAAGAACTTGTGCAATCTGCGATGAAAAGAAAAGAGAGAAAGACAGAATATGTATTAAAGAAAACATAAAGTAAACTCAGTTTTATAAATTACAATTATGCCTGGCTTCCGATTGTATAATGACTACAAACTAGGACGCTATTGTATGTTTTTTGTTTCTAGTTCTTGAGAATAATTATGATTTGGCGATCTCCGGTGTGAAATTATGGAAATCATAATGACATTTTTTAAATTGCAAATTGTAATTACACAATTAATATAATTGATGTTTCTCATTCAAATTGAATGCAGAAAATGATTGCGGTTTCTGTTTCTAGTACCAGTACTGCTTAAAAAAGTCTGATGAACAAAATCAAGAAGAAATTGAGAAGTTGCAATGTTAGGCAATAGGAATCATAATCATATCTTACTAAAAAGATATGTACATGTAAGTATATTCTTTACTTACAATAAGGATAATTACAATGCACAATTTCGTGTTCATTCCTCCTCCTTTATCTCACACACATACACACACACACACTCTCTCTCTCTCTCTCTCTATCTCTCTCTCTCTCTCTCTCTCTTCCCATTCTCTCTCTATCTCTCCCCTCTCTCTCTCTCTCCCACTTCCAAACCCCTCTCTATCTCTTTCTCTCTCTCCCCCCCCCCTCTCTCTTCACTTTCTCTCTCTCTCTCTCTCTCTCTCTCTCTCTCTATCTCCATCTCTCTCTTCTCATTCCCTATCTCTCTCTCTCCCCTCTTTACCTCCCTCTCCCACCCTCTCTCTCTCTCTCTCTCTCTCTCTCTCTCTTTCCACTCTGTCTACATGACTCCTTCTAACCTTCATATTAATCTTCATTTCTTTCTCTACCCTCTTTCCCTATTTTTCTTCTCTCATATTCCCCATTTCTCTTTTCGCTCACCCATCTTATTTGTTATGAATTAATGATGACCCAGGTGCCAGACGACCTCTAAACAGTGAACTACTTCATTACTAACATTTTCATACCACTTAGCTATAAAAAAAAAAATGATATAAAAAGCCGCAAGTGGCGTATGGGTGTCTGGCCATTGAGGAGCACTGGGAAGGCTTATTAGCTGGATTGAATAGTGAAGAAGATTCGCAAAGACAATTTCCGCACATAACTTGAAGAGGTCATCAATTCCACTACTGTAACAGTATTACAAACATCAATCAATATTTTACAATATTGAAAAGTTCGGCCGTCTTGGAATTTTCCTCAAAACATAGAAACCAATAAACCTCAAGAAACCAAGTAACCGACAACAAAACGGGAAATAAAATTAAGTAACAATAATTCGAGCACATGCGTTTCATTCCCACTATAGCCCAAAGTATCGCCTTTTGAAGGTTTGCGTAATCGAACCATTCGTTCAATCGGGGCCCCGGGTACCCGGAACATTTTGACGACTCGATCCCTCGTGATCTCGACTTAATAGCACTACACTGTACTAACTCGGCCCATGCCTCTTCACTTCAAAAATATCTCTCCATCAGGAGAAACGATTCTGAAGGGCCAATTTTACAGAAATATATTTCTCTCTACAAAGGCTTCGAAGGCATTACGATACACGTCAGTCAATTCATCAATCTCCAATCTTCCCATCCGAGATATTTCCACTTTATAAAACAATCTCGAGTGTTTCTCAATCAGCTTAAAATGACATTGCTTGGGCACCACTCAATTTCACCGCCCCTAGGGAAAGGAGATCGAATGAAAAGCAAAACAAATAGGGCTAACCTTTCTTCAGATTGGCAGATAGATAGTATTATGTGTCATTCTCTTTCGCGTGATCTTTATCGGTTATTGTGGATGGATGGATACTCGTATATCGCCGTGTGATGAGATGTTTAGACGATTATCCGCCTTATTCCGCACGCACACACACAAAGATATTAAAGATGTATACTGTTGCTTTGTCTTGTCTGTTCCTATTATGCAAGCTTTCACTACAATCCACATTGTTACGTCACGTACGTGTAAACTCTCATAACGATACAGGGCGCTATTTCATTTCGTTTTTGGAATTCTGAACCTTCGGAATTATGAACGCTTTTTCATTTTCGGCATTTTGAACCTTTTTTTTAAGTGAAAAAGGGTTCAAAATGCCGAAAATGAAAAAGCGTTCATAATTCATAATTCCGTAAGTGAAAAAAAGGTTCAAAATGCCGAAAATGAAAAAGCGTTCATAATTCCGAAGGTTCAAAACTTTCTGAATTACGAACCTTCGGGAAAATGATCCTTAAGAAAAGAAAAAAAACGACATGTAACAGAATAGGCTAACCTTTAATACCAAGGTATTCAAGTAATATCTTCGAAATATAAATCTATTTTTATATTATTTACAGTCATACAGCACGTAGTGCGCATGCCAGGAAATACCTTGTAAGTCGATTCGATTAACAGGCATTCAAATGCTGTAAAGGAACGGATGTATCTACGAAAAATTAAATTTAAAGACTCTTCTTCTTATGGATAATCTGCCTCCTTCAATGTTAAAGATTCTTACATATCTACTAGGGTAGGCAGGTGGACCACTACACCAAGGTTTTACCTACTCTTTAATATACGAAAAGTGCAGTGGGTTCTTAACGTACAAAGGCGGTGACTCAATCCTTACACTAGAATCAATCAATCTTAAGTATTTCTTCACACCTCCTCAGATCTGCTAATGTTGTTAAAGCTGTCAGTCAAGAAACGTTTGACGAAGACATTCAAATATGAAACTGGAAAAATAATTAAATTATCACTGTCACTATCGGCGTTTCTTCTCTGCGTGAGAATTGTATATTGTTAACCAGCGGCGTAGCAAGGGCCCATCTATTGAGGGGGCACTGATACGGTATAACATGTCTAGACAGGCTTACGCTAAAAAGAAAATGGAGGGATCTGTAAATAATTACCGTTGCCTACGAGTTGTAATTTCCAACTCCATTTTGAAATCGAGAGTGCACTTTATATGGTACATATAAAAGCGGTTTTACTATGGAAAAGTACGTAAGATGATGTTTAAGATGTAAGGGGGGGGGGGGGGGGTGTATTCTCATGATATTACAAACTAAAATATAATCATAACGCTGAATGATTTCCTTCTATCTTATTAAGCATCAATAATTACATTAAAAAACTTTGATGGAAGTTCTTTTTTTCAGTTCTAAGAAATTAACGACATAAACGAACTATTTTCTTCACTATTTTAAATGTTCTTCTTCTCATTGTTACTAAATTTTAGTTGAGAGCTCGAACGATGTCGAGGGCGCGGACATAAGTTTAAACATTACTCCATAGCGTCAAGAAAAACATACATGATTAATCTTTCAAATATCATGAATATGCTCCAACGAGCCTGCTCTAAAGCATACTGCAATTAAAATTGTACCCTTCAGTTGGCAATAAATCAAGCTCGGGTAAACTGACTCTATAACTCGGTATTTCTTTTTATTTTTTTTTCCATATCATGCTCAGTTGAAGAGATGATGAATCGTTCTAGACAGATTCACTCGTGGAAAATCAACATTCTTTAGACGAAAACACTTCAGTTTCAGCCCCCAGCACTCGCGACTGAAGACGTCCCCTTATGGATTATTGTGTTACTGGGATATGGCGTAATATGCAAAAAGACAGATGCATGATCGCCCTTCTTTGGAAAAGGGGGTGGGTGCAATTTACATTTGAAATGGCGTCATTGGTGACAATTGATAGAGTAAATGAACTCTCAAATGTGCAGTTATTACTACTGGTAAGCCTAGTTATAATAAACAAACTTTACTCAGGCGGGCATTATGATTCTTCGGAATAAATGATCATTCTATATTTTCATTGCAATATTGCAGCATCTACAGACCAATTCCTCCTTCAAAAATATGTAACATTGATGAAAGCAAAAACACTCCCAACCTTTTGTGTAAAAGATTAATTTTCAAAGCAATCCATGAGTATGTATGAGTGAGCTAACTTATTTAGACATACTTCATCCTAAATCAAAAAGCCTCTTTAAACGGCTTATATTGTTGGTGTTTTCAACACAAAATCGACGATGACATCAACAACGACAACAACTACGGCAACAAACCAAAAACGGAACAGGAAAAAAAAGAAGAAAAAAATAGACAAACAATCCAAAAGCGAAAAAAAAAATCAAAGCGACAAACAAACAATAATATCAGCAACAACAAAAAAAAAATTCCAACCCACATCCCACACTCCAAATCACTCATTATGGTTAAAGTGATGATAACCCTCCACGGTACAAAGTCTTTTTCATCTACAATTCCCCATGGTAACAATAAACCATCTTGATTTATGTTAATATTTATTTATTTTGCCCCCAATTAACCTCTAAGAAAATGAGAAACCATATGTGTCTGGCAGTGTCGCAGCTATAGGGGGCACAGGGGCAAGTGCCCTCCCCCATAATCCAGTGGTGACAAACATATTAAAAGAAAGACAATGCGAGAGAAGGGAGAATCGGAAAATGCCATAAAAGAAGCCGCATGGATGGACCATCTCTCGAACTCCACCCCTCATCAGGAGACTTGTTTTCCAATCTCTTCTGAGAGTAGGTTGTACCCCCCCCCCCCCATCCGTCATCGTTCCAGTACACGCTCAATAGGTGAGCCCACGCTATGCCACCGGTGACAGGGCTTACGGATGGAGAGTAACAAAATAATGCAATTTGAACCATTCATTTTCTTTCCTTACGCGTTTACGTGTATTATAGGCAACAACAAATCCACCCTCCTTTTTTTAAAAGGTACTACATGTATGTCCCTTTTGCAGGCCCAAACAATGAAAAGGTTAAACTACTAATTTAGAACTTGCCTCAAAACAAAAGGGTTTGAAAATGAGTTTTTTTGTTGTGGGAAAATAGCGACCGTTAGTTGTCAAATCGAATTCAGTGATCGCGGTCGTTTAATTAAATAGTCATTTAGACCCTTGTACCGAATGGTTGTACATTGTGTGCTGCGCAAAGATTCAATCAGTTTAATTTCGGCCGTTACAAGTAGTGGGT